TTATTGAGAAAAAGATGTTAAAAGATTTTTCCCATATATTCCTATTTAAAACTTTGAATGGCCATTGTGGCTCCGCCCTACCACCCGGGGTCATGATTTGAAGAAACTTGAATTTACACTTCCTTAAGATGATATTCCACATGAGTTTCACCTTTCCTGGCCAAGTGGTTATTGAGAAGAAGATTTTCAAAAGATACCATTAATTTTTCATTAATCCATGATAATTATCTCTCCTTGGAAGAGAGCATGGCACTTCATTTGAACAAACTTGAATCCCTTTATGGATACTTTATTGCAAGTTTGGTTGAAATTGACTAAGTGGTTCTTGAGAAGAAGATGAAAATGTGAAAGTTAATGACGATGACAATGACAACAATGACAATGCCAACCATGATGATAGACAATGGACAAATTTTGATCAGTAAAGCTCGATCACTTGAGCCTCCGGACGGTGCCCTAAAACGCAGTTAATAGAAAAAAATTATATATATCACACTTCAAAAGCTGCACTTATCTATGAGCACAATTATATTTAGTAAAATATTGTGATCAGATTCTAGCTCGATCGTCTTATCTGTGCTAAATGTAAAATTAAAAATATAGAGGTCAAGGTCAGATAATATATATATACAAATTAATAGGTTTTTAAATATTTTTTTTTTATTTTGGTGAAACAGTTTTTTTTTGTAAACAAGTTCTATTCAAAATGGTGAATGGTTGGATCGAATTTATGGTGAATGTCAGAGTCTGACACAGTTTAATAAAATGGGGCATAGTAAGACCAGGAGAAAGGGAAAGGTCTCAGCTCAGAAAATAATGACAATTGGTTGAAAAGTTCCCAGCAATATGTATCAGTGAATTCTGATAACAAAAACCTTGAATAGTTATATTTAAAACTGGGCTCAACACAAAATAAAGAGTAAGGTCAAGGTCACATGAAAACTCAAGATGTCAGATTGAATAATTTAAATCAATAATATGAATTTTGGTTAAATTCTTGTGAACAGTTTCTTAACCAATATCAAGTGCAAAGCCCCTTTATGTAACACATCACTGTGCAGTCATCTATGGTATTTTATCTGAGTGTAGCTGTATATACTAGTAAGGATGTATATGGTCAGAGACTAAACACAGAAGTCCCCCCAAAATTTTCAGTTAATATATTTAAATGAAAGTTTACTAATAAATGACACCCCAACGCCCCTTCCTTCTCCCCGCCCCTGTTGCTGTCATTTATGAAAAGAAACAAACAAGTAAGACAGACTTATCTTTTTTTTTGGGGGGGGGGGGGGTCTTACTTTAAAAAAAAAATCATGAACATGGATTATTCAAATACCCCCTCGCCTGTCTAAGAAAAAATAATTCTGGATCTCTTGTCTTACTTGTCCTTCAATTTAACATGACTGATATTGAAAGGAATTTTTTTAAGACAAAGAAAGAGAGAATTCGAACGTGTTTGATACAGCAGGTAAAGATCCAACATTGTTTAACTTTACCGTTAAACCCCATTAGATTACACATTTCATACAATCAACGATTCATAACAAAAGTACTTACAAAAAAAACACATTTTATGATTAATGTGTATCTTTTTATCTGCATAGTCTCTACCTGAAACTGGACTGCCCGCGCCTTTACATTTCTCATTTCCACAAATCGGAACATCACTCGGCCTTTTCCGTCAACGATTCATAACAAAAGTACTTACAAAAAAAACACATTTTATGATTATTGTGTAGCTCGGTCCATAGTCTTTTCAAATACTTGAAACTGATTATGATCTGGATAAATATCCGCGCCTTTACATGAACACTTCTCAGATTTTTTGTTTTGACCGAGCCAGATAAAAAACGCCTTTCCGGTTCCAAAAATGGTATTTTTAATTGGCACGGTACAGCTCGGCAATCGGAACATCACTCGGCCTTTTCAAGTCGATCAGTCGATTCTCGAAACAAAAATTATTAAAAGAAATCTATCATGGCGTCGGATTGCGGTTTAGCTCCCCCACACCCCCACTTTCAAGTGTTTTCAAATTCTGCTGTGACTTAATGAATAAATAATACATGATTATGATCTGGATAAATATCAAATCAAATCAAAATGAAATAAATTAATTGTTATTAAAATTTATTTTTGTTTCTTTTTTGTTTTGACTGGAATTAAAAGCAGCTTTTGCAGACAAGAATGTTTTGACCGAGCCAGATAAAAAACGCGGTAGCGGCCAAAAATGGTATTTTTAATTGGCTGCAATATCTTCACATTCATTAGGATATTCTAATATCTAACAGAAACAAAAATTATTAAAATTTATAATTTTATGATTTATATCTGTTGGTTTAGTCCCACTAAACAGTTACACCCGCCCCCACCCCCACTTCAATTATCTCTCCCACTTTCTTTTTTTTTATTCATAATTCATTTATTTTTGTTTTTCATTTAAACAATAGATGCTTATTGTATTTATGAAATCTAACGCAAGGCGTCTTTTGGTTTAGTCCCGCGAAGCGCCTGGTTATGTAAATTTTTTCTGACATAGCCTAATGTAGTTCATGTAGTGATATAACGCAATGGGTTTTATTTTTTTATTCATAATTCTTTATTTTTGTTTAAATATCATTTAAAGTAGGATGTTTCTATTATTTGTTATTTCATTAACGTATTAATAAATGATTAATAACACCCGCTACAGAGGATGTAACATTTTTTCTTAGAATAGAGATTCAGAGAGAGGAGGATTAACAAACAAAGAGGATGAGTTTATATTATCTCCCCCCATATAATTCTTTGAGATAGAATGCTTTCTTTGTTTGTTATTTAAAGGGCGAAGCGGGTTATGTAAAATATATTTATATCTGTTTAAATAATCATTTAAAGTAGGATTTAAAAGATTAATTATTGTATTAATAATGCAAACGTCTTTATACGTTTCATTGATGGAACACCCACTGATCAAGAAATATGAACAGGCGACATGCCTAATGTAGTTCATGTAGTGATTAACGCAATGGGTTTTCTTAAGAAATAACGGGGAAAATATATTCAGTGGATGTAAATATATTCTGTTATTTCATACAATAAATGATTAATAACACATACAGAGGATGTAATTTTTTTCATCTTAGAAAGAGATGGAAAGAGAGAGAGAGAGAGGAGGAGGAGGAGGAGGAGAGGAGAGAGAAAGCTAGGGAGGGTAAGAAAAGGAGAGAGGAGTGCGTGCATACATAATATCTACATAAATCTAAAAATTCATTGAAATAAAAGCTTCCAACAGTTCCAGCAGGTATCAAACAAAATCCATTTCTGTATGCAATATATTTTTGAGTTTCATAAAATGTATTCATAAGCTCATTTCAAATTTTGTTAAAAACAGTATTTTACTTGTAATTTGATATAACAGATTACTAATTTGATATATAACAGATTACTAATTTCTTATAACAGATTAATAATTTGATATAAAAGATTCTTAATTTGATATAACAGATTTATAAACAGATAAACCAGATTACTAGTTTCTTAAAATAGATTACTAATTTGTTATAACAAATTACTAATTTTTTATAACAAATTACTAATTTTTTATAACAGATTATTAATTTGATACAACAGATTATTTATTTGTTAAATCAAACTAATAATTTGAAATAAATTAGTAATTTAATATAATAAATTAGAAATTTGATAAAGCAAATTACTACTTTTGACAAAATTTGAAATGTATACAGATCTACGAAAGCCAGATCAAATAAAAAATCTTAGTATAAGTCGGATTTCTGAAAATAATTTGCAACTGTCAAAGTTTTTGGCCAATAATAAGGCTTTAGTGGGACTTTTGAGAGCTTTTCCAGCAAGTCCCTTTTTATTATAAAAATTTCACGCATACGAAAGAATTGAATGACATTTGATGTATTTAATATTAAATTTTACCAAGAGCTACCCACTCAAGAATATTCTGGGTTTTTTTTCTTTCGTTCTCCGGGGAAGGTTGTTACGGAATGTATTTTTTGTCGATAATTTATCTGCAAATTCATTTTGATCAATGTTGCCTTTGTTGCTCACAGCTTTATACAGAACCATGGTGGTCCACCATAGGAGCAGATCCAGGAATAGGGATTTTTGATTTAATTTACTTATACATGAGTTGGGTTGAACAGTAGGCATAAATGCCTGTCGAACAGCAGTATTAAATTCAAAGTAGATTATATATGTTACATGTAAAGAAAGAATCGAGAGAGAGAGAGAGAGAGAGAGAGAGAGAGAGAGAGAGAGAGAGAGAGAGAGATAAAATGAACAAAAACAAAACACAAATAAAAGAATTTATTTTGTAACATTCTGTTGCATGCCTTAAATAAGATAATATTTTTCCTAGCATACGAATTGGGTGATATGACTGTACAGAGTCATGTGCAATTTTTTTTTATTCTTAGAAGCTAAATAATGAAACTATGTCCAACATAATGCATCGGGCAAATAAAATTTTTTAAATGGCGAGAATTATCAATTGACGATTCTTTTGCCTAAACATGCTCAGAAATCCAGCTTTTTTATTGCCTATGTTTTTAATCATTTTCTATGAACAAAATGTCATAATTGACATCGGGATCGGATACATAAAATAGATTGTCTCTGGCAGCACATATGGCTTGTGAATACTTTCTATAATTTTTTGTACAATATACAATACACATTCACAACTCAATCATTACACATGGTAAATGGACTGTTGCTATATAGGCCTAACGTTACACAGCAGACTCCAGACAGAGCCGGTCTGCAAATCGAAAGAAGGTTGTTTCATTTATGGGGGTGACAGGATGAGTTTTCACTTTCGCATTTCCTATTTATGTTTATCCAAAGTGAAAACCATTCAAAATTTAATTTGTTAAAGAATAGAAAGAAGTTTTCTTATCCTAAGTTTGATTTAGTATGAAGAATTTTTCATTTAATTCCCGAAATTACCGAGCAAAGTTTATCTTCCCACCCCTGTTGTTGATAGTGACCTCACCTGTCAACAACTTCACAATTCAGTTGCAGAAGAATGTGGACCCCTACGTTTGGTGTTTGCCTTATTCTAATTTTCATTAATGGAAGCTTCTCAAAATGTGGATATCAGGTTTGCTTTTTTTCATGATTTTTATGTCACCTTGCAATATTTGGCAAATGTTCCTATTATTGCCTTGATTATGCAAACAATTTTGTCCAGCATGTGACAGTTATAAAAAAGGCGCAGAAAGGTGACGATAGTTTTGACTTTTGACATTGTTTTTATGGAGAGAAACTCAAAATGTATCCCCTACAGATCATTTGGAAAAATAAAAAAAAAAGAAATTAGAAAGGACGAAAAAGGATTTTAATTGAGGAGGTGCATGCAGATGGGTATTGAGATCTGCCAGTAGCTGATTATGCAGTAATGCCATAGAACAACTATATGGTGTATTTGTACCTCCATACAAGATTTTCCCCACTTTTTAAGAACCATTTTACCTCCTTACAAAAAATTTCTACTTGTAACAGAAAAGAAGAAAATAATGTACGTGGCTGGACCCTACATATGTACTCCCACAATTAAGAGGTTTGGTTAACGTCCCTACGCACCTTATATGCCTCGTTACGCAGCACTAATTAAGTTAAAAGTATCTCAATGTGAATAGCATGCTGGAGTAGGCTGGACCTACACCTGGAATTGAACCTGTGACCCGTGCATCACTACTGGTGTTCTACTAACTGAGCTATCAAGGCCAACATCCTTGGCTCAAGACATTGCATTCCCACTCCTTAAACTGACTCTCTGTCCTTGAAGACACAATCCTTGTTCTTATTAGCACCTTCCAGGACTTTCACCTGCAAATCACGGGTTAATGGCACCAAATCTGTAACAGTAAAGGAGAAAATGTATGGATGGACCAAGAATTAAACCCAGGAACCCTGAGGTGCTCTACTGACTGAGCTACCCAGGCCGATATGCATGGCCCGAACCATTGCACGCTTTCATGTCATGCATTTTATTCAGCATTTCATTTTTCCATCAGTTTTATGTGATAAATTAATTCATTTGGCAGCTATGAAATAGCTAATATTCAGACCCTTGTCACCCAAAAAGGAAAGTGCAATATAAAGTAACAATCACACAGAAGTCCTTGCTTTATTATTTCAAGAAAAATACAAAGAATAGTATCAAATATAGATCTTATTTGTAGTGGCCGATAAGTTAAAAGTTTTGACATACATGTACCTATTAAAGATTGCTATTGATATATAAAACATGACTTTCAATGCTTTGACAGAGCTGTAACCCTGTTAAGGATGGAATGATTAATGTCCACTTGGTTCCTCATACTCATGATGATGTAGGCTGGCTTAAAACAGTGGACCAATATTATTATGGAGGTAAGGGGCTAACTTTCAGGAATCGTTTTAATTTGCAAATCTTATTTTTAAAACATTTGTTTGAATAAAAGGAAATACAGCATGAAAATATCAGTTTGACAATTATTAAAAAACTCTATTCATTGAAGAATAGATGGACCCTTCTGTCAATTTGACAAATATTTAGAATTTTTATTCAATGTTATTAGGAAATTCCTTGTCAGTGCATCCGCATTTCAATTTGACAGATGGAGATTTTTAGAATTTCCTGCTCTTTCTTTGCAAGAGTAATCATTAGTTTTATATATTCAAAGTTTATCCTTTGGATTATAAAAATTCTCTCTTCATAAGCTGAGTTTTGGAACACCCATGTAAAGTGTTGTTCAGACTGTTGATGCCATTTTTTCTGAAATTAATGTTCATCTGAATCTACCTCATCTCTCCTTGTTGGAGAATTAACACCTGAGTTATTTCCCTTGAAATTAAACTAAAATATCTAACATGTATATCATATGTAGTAATGGTTTTGATTCTTGCATTAAAATGATAAGTTGTGTAATATTTTAGACAAGAATGATATACAGAATGCTGGAGTGCAGTATATACTGGACTCGGTTATCCAGGAACTTACGGCAGACAAAACCAAAAGATTTATTTACGTGGAAGTTGCTTTCTTTGCACGATGGTGGAGACAGCAACACGACAGGATCAGGCATCTGGTCAAAGGACTCGTTAATGAGGGTAATGTGTAATTCAGAGGGTGTGAAGCGATGCTCTCTGTTTAAAATGTCTGCGAAAACTTGATAAAAAAGTTATTGTCAATGAAATATTATATCTCCATAGTGCATACTGGTACACTATAATATTAGTAAAACTAACAATATTTACTAGCTCTAGGTATATATTTACAATCAGTATTGAGGTACACAAAGTACTTCTGAATTTTATTACAGGGTGATTCTTAAACTTGTGATATAATTTATAACAGATTATTAGGTAATTTATTTGAAGCCCTTGAGCTTGAGAGGACAATTATGCTAAAAATGAAAATACTCCTCTTATTTACAATTCATTGTCCTTGGAACAACAAATTAATAGGGGTCTTTGCAAGTCAAGACCATGTACATGTAATAAACATGATAAAGAAAGTTGATTATATCTAGAATTTAAGTCAATGACCATGCAAGAAAACAACATCAAATAAGGTCTTGATCATGAATGAAATGTTTTAGAAATGCTTAACAAACCAATAAAGTTGAAAAGCAACTACATGATTATGTGTATGGTGTATAAAATTTAGAAAACTGTGATAATTCAGGAAATCAGTTTATCAAAAAGAGAGTACCAGGGTACATGTATATACTGCTCCTTCACGAATTGTTACTTTCGTTACTATAACCTATACAATACTTGTAGTAAAATAGCTAGGGCCTCAAAGCACCCAGCTTCATAATACTTTAATTTGTTATTTCCATAAAAAAATATTTCTTGAGTTTAAATTTCTTAAATTGGAGGTTTTTTTATATCTTCATGTAATTATATAAACTCCAGGCATTAAAAAAAATTTTGACTGTGTTTTTCAATGTATGTAATGTTGAAATACTATATCTTTGTACTTCTGGACAGGGCGCCTTGAGTTTATCTTAGGTGGCTGGTGTATGGACGATGAAGCCACCACACATTATAATGCAATCATTGATGAACATTCTCTGGGATTGGAATTCCTGCGACAGAACTTTGGAGATTGTGGCAGACCTCGCGTAGCATGGCAGATTGATCCGTTTGGACACTCCAGGGAGCAAGCTTCCCTCTTTGCTCATGCAAGTCTCTCCTACTAAACTAGTCCTTGACTAAATGTTTATTTTTTCTTTCACGCATAATTTATTACACAGAAAGTGATTGTGATTGTGCAGCAGGCAAATTCATTTTAGCCTTCTCCCCAAATACCTGTTGTGAATCAAAGCATCTTACTAACTTTGGTCATTGATTCAGTTTGAAGAGTTTGCTTTATAAAGATTTTATTATAGAAGAATTACTGTTACAGATGGGATATGACGGCCTGTTCTTTGGACGTTTAGACTATCAAGACAAGTTTAATCGAGCTCTAACAAAATCCATGGAAATGATTTGGCAGGGCAGTCCTGACAATTTAGGTATGTAAAATAAACATGCTTTATAGTAAGCTTTTGTGTCATGCTTCTTTCTTAAAGGTTTGTTTATATTGTAACTTGCTTTAGTTTGTAAACGACCTTTCTTTTTATTCTAGGTCCCAGCAGTGACTTGTTCTCGGGGGTCCTGTACCACGGCTACAATCCCCCACCAGGATTTTGTTGGGACTCATCATGTCATGATGATCCTATCATGGTGAGTGTGTGTGTATTGATCTCAGTTCCCATACTGTAGAACTTTGAGTATTTTCACTAGGTTTCTTGGTACAGTTGTATCGATCTCAGCTCATGGAACTTGAGTGCTTTGACCATTAGTGCAAAATTTCTCGCTAGAATTCTCAGAACGGCTTAAAACAATTTGTAGCACATGATGTGCTTAGAAGACAGAGAGCAAATAATACTTCAAAAAGAAGCATCTGCTTTTTATCTCACACATATAGAGAGTAGATTGTAATGGATACATTTAGCTAAACTTGAAATAAAAATGTTGAAATAAATTTTGTAGGATGACAAAAATATGGAAGGCTATAATGCAGATCAGAAAACAAAAGCTTTCCTCAACTATACACAGAACCAGGTAAACTATTGAATCACTGCTACAAACAGGACAGGTAAACTATCCTATCACAACTACACACAGAACCAGGTAAACTATCCTATCACAACCATTATAAAACCAGGTACACTATCCTATCCTATCACAGCTACACAGAGAACCAGGTAAACTATCCTATCTGAATCAGGTAAACTATCCTACCTGAATCAGATAAACTATCCTATCTGAATCAGGTAATCTATTTTATTATACTTCTGTTAAAATGTTTCCTATATAAAGTTCAGAAGGTAAAATAACTATCTTGTATAGTCCACGCATAGCAAAACTATACCCCGGGGTATAGTTTTTGCTATCCACCCTCGGAAAATTTTCATGCAATTTTTGCCGCCAATTTTGATTTCCATCTATAGATCTATAGACTGATGATGTCATAATGACTCTAAAAGCATTGTGACGTCATCAGGATTTCAGATTATTCTTGCAGTATTATCTCATTCCAAAAAATTCAAACATCAGAAATTATATCATACATCAGTATAATAAAACGCTTATCCACTGTTTGTGATTGGGATAGCTCTTTTATCAAACCCTTGACAGGGACTATTCCCCTCGGGCAAGCCCTCGGGGAATAGTTCCCTGTCGCGGGTTTGATAAAAGAGCTATCCCACTCACGACCAGTGGATAAGTGTATACTATCTGAACCAGGTAAACCAACCTATCTGAACCAGGTAAACTATCCTATCACAACCACTATAAAACCAGGTACACTATCCTATCACAGCTACACAGAGAACCAGGTAAACTATCCTATCTGAATCAGGTAAACTATCTTACCTGAATCAACTAAACTATCCTATCTGAACCAGGTAATCTATCCTATCTGAACCAGGTAAACTATCCTATCACAACCACTATAAAACCAGGTACACTATCCTATCACAGCTATACAGAGAACCAGGTAAACTATCAGGTACACTATCCTATCTCAATCAGGTAGACTATCCTATCTGAATCAGGTATACTAATCCTACCTTAATTGCACACACAGAAAAGGTAGACAATTCAAGTGCAAACAGACCCATGTAGACTTTTTTGTATCTCTTACATATGCAGAATCACATAGACTACCATATCCCAAACACACACTACCATGCTACCTCAATGACATAGTAAACCAGGAAGACTATCCTACATGTACTCATATAACACACAGATGCAGATAGGTTTCTCTACCTCAGTCCTACACAATGGGAAGGACTATCCCTCCTCAACCATGCACAGATCCAGGTATATTATCCTACCACATATACAAAATCAGGAGTTAGAGCTAATTTACTTCCAGAACCAGGTAGAATATAATTTTATTGTGAGAAAGTTTTCCCATCCTTTGAATCATTTAATTTCTATAAAATACTTGATTCTGATTGGTTTAAAAATTCTTTTGATACCTGCATCAATAAAATGTAGAGTTCGCTTGCACTAAGCAGCTGGAACTACTTTGGCAGTCTTTACATATATATTTCCCGCTTCCAGTTTACTTCTTGGAGGAATAATTAAATACTTTTACTTTAATAAATATTTTCCTGAATTTCGAAACCTGTCCGTTACGTCCCCGACTTATTTTCTACTTTCGTTTCTTTTTTAATTATCCCCCTTTGCTAAACAAATCAAATGGTCTGCATAACAACAAGACAGTTTTGTGAAAGAAGGAAAGAAATCGACATACTTTTGTTAAATGTTTGGCTTTGAGATGTCTGGTATGAACAATAGAATTCTGAAGAAACGTTTTTTTATGCTACCAAAGAGAGGAAAAACCGTTAATCTGTTAAAACTTGGGAAACGAATGATCGAGAAAAACGACACTGCATGAATGAGGACAGATTCTTTTATTCTTAAACAGTCGGCAGCAGAATCTTTCAGGTTTTACAGCATTGACAGGTTGTGATACGTATTTATATGTTCGGTTTGAAATTCAGATGAAAAGATGTGCAAATGAAATCCAAAATTTCTGTGACCAAACGTGAGAACTGTTAGGATATTTGAGTAGCTTCCCTTTACATTTACGAACTTAGATAACTTACCAGGGAAAATATACCGATTGGGATAACAAAACAGGTAAGTTTTTTGTGTTAAAGAACTGTAAACTATTTCAGAGAATGCTGGTAATGCCACGACAATATTTGAGAACGTTTCTCCGTTTGAGCCCATGAATTTCAGCAACGTTAACGTTGTTGTGATGTATTCGTGCGCACTGTTTTTGATGCGTAAATTTAATAGAAAGGTGAAAGAAAGATTCATTTTATTAATTTAAAAGCATAATTAAATGATAAGAAATGAATGTAATATTTTTTCCTTTGATTGATGTATCAAAGAAAAATTTGGACGGAAAACTTTTTCATCAATGCGCTACGCATTTTTCCGTCCAAATTTTTCTTCTCTTTGGTAGCATAAAAAAACGTTTCTTCAGAATTCTATTGTTCATACCAGACATCTCAAAGCCAAACATTTAACAAAAGTATGTCGATTTCTTTCCTTCTTTCACAAAACTGTCTTGTTGTTATGCAGACCATTTGATTTGTTTAGCAAAGGGGGATAATTAAAAAAGAAACGAAAGTAGAAAATAAGTCGGGGACGTAACGGACAGGTTTCGAAATTCAGGAAAATATTTATTAAAGTAAAAGTATTTAATTATTCCTCCAAGAAGTAAACTGGAAGCGGGAAATATACATGTAAAGACTGCCAAAGTAGTTCCGGCTGCTTATAATAGTGCAAGCGAACTCTACATTTTATTGATGCAGGTATCAAAAGAATTTTTAAACCAATCAGAATCAAGTATTTTATAGAAATTAAATGATTCAAAGGATGGGAAAACTTTCTCACAATAAAATTATATTCTACCTGGTTCTGGAAGTAAATTAGCTCTAACTCCTGATTTTGTATATGTGGTAGGATAATATACCTGGATCTGTGCAAGTTTTCCGTCCAAATTTTTCTTTGATACATCGATCAAAGGAAAAAATATTACATTCATTTCTTAATACAGGTGCTATATGGTTGATTTTGATTACAGGCCACTGCTTATGCTACCAATCACTTGATGATGACGATGGGGAGCGATTTCAACTACCAGAATGCTCACATGTGGTTCAAGAACATGGATAAACTGATCAAGCTTGTAAATGCTCAGGTATTGGTAACACTACAACTTCTCTGAGAAAGAAAAAGCACTTGATTGAAATTTGAACATAAAAGAAGACAATATGCAAAAACTTTTTCTCATAATTTCAGCAAGACAATGGTAGTAAGGTGAATCTGCTCTACTCCACGCCCAGCTGTTATCTGTATCAGCTGAACCGAGCCAATCAAACCTGGCCCACCAAGAAAGACGACTTCTTCCCATATGCCCACCTCCCCCACTCCTACTGGACGGGGTACTACACCAGTCGCCCCACCCTCAAGGGCTACGTCAGGCAGACTAACAACTTCCTACAGGTAGAGACTCAAATCCTGAATGTGAAGGACTAAATATCTTTTTTTTTAGTTTCCTAAGTTGCATCTGTAACCTATGACTAAAACAAAGTTCAAGACCTCTGACCTTTGATCTCTGTTTTAGGTGTGCAAACAACTGGATGCCTTAGCTGTGTTAGAAGATTCTGACAATAGCACACTCAACATTAAAGTCTTAAGTATGTTATAGGATTTATTTCTTATGTTTTATATTGAATTTTGTGTGAAATATGAAGATCATGTAATTTTGTTTTGAAACACAGTGATTGACTTAATGACCCTAAAGGGAAAATGACATATCATATAGAAATTGAAAAGAAAAAGAAAATGACAAAAAAGGCAAACCTTTTTTATGCATTTTTTTTGTTAAATTTTAAGTTTGAATTTGTTTTACAGAGGAAGCAATGGGTGTAGCACAGCATCATGACGCTGTGTCGTAAGTATTGTTGTTTTTCAGCCATACAGGAACAAAGATTGCACAAAAATTAGAAAATCTTTCAAGTGATCTTTAAGAATTATTTATTATAAAAAATATTATTATTATCAAAAGTGTGTAAATGAAATAGTACATTGTATGTACAATTTTATTTCTAAAATTGTGAAAAGTTGCAAGGTTTGCATAGCATGATTATTCAGCAGATTTTTTTAAACACATGAATCCATTGAAATGGAAGGAGAAAGACCAGTCTATAGTTTTAAGATAATGTTTAATTCACTAAAATGTTTTAAAGAGGAACAGAAAAACAGGCTGTGGCTTATGACTATGCAATGAGGCTAGCAAGGGGAAATTATGAATGTCAGGTGAGCCTTATAGTTCTGTGCTGCAGAGACATTTAAAAATAGCAGTGACACATTTTAATTGAAGATACATTTTGCATACATTTTTATTTATCATGATTTGTTTGACATTTTATATTTATTTCTTTTACAGAAAGTGGTCAATGATGCCTACAAGAAATTATTTCCAAAACAGAAAGAAGCCCCGCCAGACCAGCTGTTCTGTAATCTTTTGAATATCAGCATGTGTCATGCAACAGAAAATAACAAACAGGTCTGTGTCGGTATAAACAGTCTATTAATCCATATCTTGTCACACCCTTCTGTAAAATCACTGCACCATTTGTAACAAATATGATTATTTAACTTTTTCGCAGTTTACCATGACTGTGTACAATCCTTTGGGAAGGTCACTGAATCACTGGATACGACTTCCTGTCATAGGTAGATCCTATGTCATAACAGATCCCAATGGCAAGAGTATACCATCGCAGGTTTGTATCAACTACATGTACAAGGAAAAAACTTAATCCTTAATTTTCCTCTTTCTTTTAAAATTACCTCCTTCCCCTAATTTTATTTGACTCTGTTTTTAAATACAGGTGTTTTTCTCCATTTGAATTAAAAGATTAAAAAAATCCCTATATTTATCATGCAGATACACGTGTACATTAAAATCAGACCTGTAAAGGAGTTTTAAAAGTTTAAAGAAATAATTTCTCAAAGAAAGAAACCTTTGAAGCTATCTTGTTATTCAAACAAATCCTTGACATTTGATCTTATGACCTTTGACCTACAGGTTTTACCCATCAGCAGCGAGACTAAGAAAATCCCAGAGAGGAATGGATCCCTGGCAGAGAATGAACTTGTTTTCAATGTCTCATTACCTCCCCTTGGCTTCAGCACCTTCTTCATCAAAATGAGCCAGGGTAAGTCTACATGTATACATAGGTGAAATGTAGATTCCTTATTTTTCGCGAGTACTTATTATCGCAAAACGCCTCTTCAATGTCAAATCTTGAGAATAATAATTCGCAAATGTATAGTTGATGAAGAGATTTATCATTGATTTCGGCATCATAAAAATAAAAGCGAGTAGTTTTATTTCTTGAGTGATTCTTCTCACGAAATTACGCGATAATTAATTCCACGCTTATATTTAGGAATTTACAGTACACTCCGATGCCTTTAAGAATTTGAATAGATTTGTAAAGGATTTATGAAGTTTTATTTTAGCTATGTTTCATGTTTAGGAATGAACAAGTCACAGAAGTCTGTTGTTCACCAGTATGATAATTCAGATGTTGTCATAAAGAATCAGGTTTGTACTAATTATGTTTCACTTATCTCATCTTTTAATTTTCAAATGAAAGGAAGCATTTCTCACTATCCTAGGAAGAAAATTATAAAGATAAGAAATTTTTTACTCAAATTATGTGAGAATTTTGATTATGATAGTATAAATCTAGATATAAGTACCAATATAATGAAATTCTTGTTTTTCAGCATTTATCTCTGATGTTTGATGGAAAATCTGGGCAGTTGAAGTCAATGAAGAATTTGAATTCTGGGGCCTCCATTCCTCTCCAGCAGAGCTTTATGTACTATGTAGGCCACCCTGGGAACACCAGCGTGTTAAAGTACCAAGCCTCGGGGGCCTATGTGTTTAGACCTCTGACCACAGCTACATATAATTTTCAGCCTCAGTTAATGAAGAAAAACTATTACGTTGAGGTAGATTTTCTTGTTACATATAAGATGTAGGTGTACTTTCTTTCCCTCCCCATATTTTGTTTTATACTTGTAACTCTCACAACTTACTCGTTAGGATTTTATTTTTTGGAAGGGGGTGTACTTGACTCTTACATGAATTTGTAGGTATCTTATTGAAATCTGTTGTTCTGTCGGTCCATTTATAATTTTTTGTTTTTCATGTTATTGTGCTATTGTGTTCAAATCATAGCATACAGTAAGGCATATTCTGACACCAAGGCTGATTATGTACATTTATGTCATTCAAATGGAAGCTCTGGTTCTTTTAAAAATATGACTGTGCAAATTCATGCATAGACAGAGATAACTTTTAAAAAAAATTATCACAAGGATGAAAATTATATTATTATTCCCTTGGGATTTATTATCTTCTGAATACATCAACAGTATATCTGTGTAAAATCTGCATATGACCTGACAGCTTATAAGATAACATTTCTTTCTCATTTTAGGGCCAGTTGGTCCAGGAAGTTAGACAGCAGTTCTCACCCTGGGTGTCCCAGGTGGTCAGACTGTATGACCAGGCCAACTATGCCGAGTTAGAGTGGACAATAGGCCCAATACCTATCAGGTCAGTTTGTGTAGCCCTCATAAAACTTATCAAAGCCCTGGGATCATGAAAGAGCTTACTGTAGATTCCTTATTTTTTGCGAGTACTTTTTATCGCGAATGGGCTCAACTGTGAATCACGAGAATAAGAATTCGCGAATGGACGGTTGATCAAGAGTTTTAAAATAGATTTCAGCACCATGAAAATAAAGGCGAGTACCAAAGGTAATTTAATTTCATGTGTGGTGCTTCTAGCGAAATTACACTATAATTAATTCCAGGTGTATATTTAGGAATCTTCAGTAAGTCAAAATCTTTTGCTGGTGCTGAAATTTTGTTGAAGTCAAATAGTCCAAATTAAAATATTACTTATTGCACCACCAAAGTGCTTTTATCTTCAAATGTAGAGAATTGGTTGACTAATGGTAAACATTTAACATGTACTGGTTGTTAAAAATTTGACTTAAGACTAAGTCTGATCCTGGAGCCAGTACTTATGAAATTTTATACAGACTTAACTAGCAACGTGTCATTGAAACTAAGTTACCCCTCTGATGCTAGTTAAATTAGAATTTTTATCTTTTTTTCAGTGATGGTATGGGAAAAGAAATCATTACAAAGTATAGCACAGGTTTACCAACCAAAGGCGTCTTCTATACTGATGCCAATGGAAGAGAAATTCTTAAAAGAACGTAAGAAATTATCATTATATTTCTAACTCTGTTTTGTGAATTTCAGTATATCTTTGAGCTTTTGTAAATGGCATTTGGCATGCTTGTGTATACAAAACAATCCCTTACCTATATTTCTGCACATCTTTCACATATCACTTGTACTGTGAGTTTATAACTTGATTGATTTTAAAGGCTCATAATTGGAGTGTGGATGCACATTATTCTTTTGAATTTAAGAAAATGCAACATCCGTGTATCTTTTTCAGGCGAAATCATAGAGATACTTGGAAGTTCAAGACACTGGAACCAGTTGCTGCAAATTATTACCCAATCAATAGCAGAA